CCCCTCCCCCTCCCTTCCTTCTTGTCTCCCCTCCCCCTCTCCCTCTGCCTTCTCCCCTGGGATGCCAATGACACATTTGTTAGACCTTCCCATTGTGTGATGTATCTGTTCAGTTTTCCCCTACTTTTTGATTTCCATGCTTCTGTTGGGACTATTCTGTTTACCTGTCTTTGACATCAGTGTTAGGTCTTAACCCTATCTGTTGAGTTCTTTGTTTTCTATTTCCCATTTTCACGTGTGTGGTATGCATGTGTGTAGGCATATTTTCTTTGTGCATGTGCAGGCGTACCTTATGCACAGTGCAGGCCTGAGGTTGATGTTGGCAGTCATCCTCTATCTCCCTTACACTTTATTCAACAGGTAGGGTATCTCAATCAAATGCAGAGCTTGCTTTGGGGATCTCTGCCTTCTGGAGCTGGATTTACAGGCTGGTCTCCATGCCCACCCACCATTTCCATGAGTTCTGGGGGCCTGACTCTGGTCCTCAACCCACTTTTTTTTTTCTTTGAGACAGGGTCTCTCTGAAGCCCTAGCTGTGCCTGGAACTTGCTACAGACGGACCTCAATCTCAATCGACCACTAGCCTCTGCCTCTCAAAGGCTGGGATTAAAGGTGTGTGCCACTACACCTGGCTCCAGCCCAAGTTCTTAATTTCAGATACTATATTTTCAGCTGTAAAATGTTCAGTTCGAATTTTTCATATATTCCAGTTTTATTTTTAATTTTAAATAAATTACACTTATTTAATTTTTTTCATATGTGTGTGAGCCTGGCATGGTGGCCCAGGCCTTTAATCCCAGCACTCAGGAGGCAAAGGCCAACAGATCTCTGTGAGTTCAAGGCCAACCTGGTCTACATAGCAAGTTCCAGGACAGCTGGGGGTACAGGGAGACCCTGCTTCAAAAAGACCAAAAAAAAAAAAAAAATTCAGTTCTCTCCTTTCACCATGTGGGGGCCCAAGAATCAAACTGAGGTTCTTAAGCTTGGTGTTAGGCTCCTTTATCCACTGAGCCATCTAACCAGTTTTACCTTGAAATTCTCCATCTTTTTTTCATTTTTGAGCTTTTTTGTTATTATCTTGTTTTTAGGGAAACTAGATTGTTTTGGGTAGTGTGTTTTTTGCTTTTGTTGCTATTATTGATTTGGGGAGGTGGATTGAGACATCACGTCTCTCTATTTAGCCCAGGCTGGCCTTGAACTCACAGAAATCTACCTGACTCTGCCTCCCGTGCTGAGATTAAAGGAGTGCAACACCATGCCCAACCCTTATTTTTTACTGTTTATTTTCATTTTTTGTTTGTGTTTTGCCTGCATGTATTTAAGTGTACCATGTGCTTGCAATGCCTACAGAGGCCAGAAGAGGGAGTAGGATCTCCTGGAACTAGAGTTACAGATGGTTGTTAGCCACCCATATGGGTGCTGAGAACTGAACCTGGGTCCTCTGCAAGAGCAGTAAGTGCTTTAACTGTTGAGCCAGTTCTCCAGACCTCCTCTGTTGTTGGTTTTTTTAAAAAATTTTTATTTATTTTTATTTTATGTGTATGAGTATATTGCTTGCATGTAGGTAGGTGTACCTGTGTCATGCAATGCCCGAGGAGGTCAGAAGAGGGCGTCGGATCTCCTGAAACTGGAGTTAGGGACTGGTGTTCGCTGCCATGTGGGTGCTGGAAATCAAACCGGGTCCTCTGCAAGAGCAGCCAGTGCTCTTAACTGCTGAGCCAGTTTGCTAACTGCTAACTTTGACATTTGGTCACTTGTGCGTCTGCTTCTGCTGTCTTTGTCTGTCACATGCCCCTGCTTTTTCTGTCTTGTCACACATCTTAAACTTTTGTTCTTTGGACATTGCATATGAAAAATCCACGAACTGCAGCAGTGTCCTCCCCAGTGAGAGTGCTCCGTCAGTGCTAAGGCAGATGTACTGATGACCTTAATCGAACTTGAAGCTGCACTAAATTGGACTGGGCTAGAATTTTACTTAGAGCCATCTACTTTTGTTTCAAAGGGCACCCCATATGGTGGCAACACACCTGTAATTCCAGCATTCAGTCTAGGCAGGAGCTCTACCTCTGAACCACATCACTTAGCTTCTCACTGGAAGAGTCTAGGAAGGGGCTCTACTACTGCACCCCAATCCTCAAGTCATGTTCTAATTGTTATATCCATAACTGTGGCTAGAGTAGCTATAGTCTTGGCCCTTGTGAAGCTTATAGTTGCATTTTTAATACACCTAATTAAAAAATAGAAAAATTAGGCCAGTGAGATTGCTCATTGGGTAAAAGTGCTTGTCACTACATCTAAAGACCTGAGTTCAAAACCCAGGATCCACATGGTAAAGAAAACCAACTCTACAAGTTATCCTCTGACCTCCACATGTGTGCCATAGCATACAGGCATACACACACACACACACACACACACACACACACACACACACACACAACACACACACACACCAATAAATAAATGTAATAAAAAAATTTTTTTAAAGGTTGAGTTTGAGTAATAGGCAACCAGAGGCCCCAACCTCTTCTGGGGTTGGGGCGGGTGATGTTAGAGAAGATGTTAGAAATTTGGGACAGAGAGGCCAGCACTTAACACAGCCTTGTTCTTCTCTTCCTCTGCCCACTGTCAGAGGGCTCAGGTCAGCGGTCAAGACTTGTGTCCATGCTGGACTCGGACACAGAAGGTGAAGGGGACATTGGAGGCACCATCAGCCCGTCTGTGGCCATTGCCATTGCTGGGGGGCCCCTTGCTCCTAGCTCTCGCTCCAGCATCTCCCAGGGACCTTCAACCGTAAGTGTGAGACTCATTACCCACAGACACCTCCCAGCTGAGTAAAATGTCATGTCATGTATTGATAATGGTGGAGTACCTATAGCTCAGTTGGCAGAGTGTTCGTGTCTTCATGCATGAAGCCCTGGATTCCATCCCAGTACTACATGAACGGGCATAGTAGTAGTACACACCTATAAATCAGGCACAAAGAAGGGTCAGAGGTTCAAAGTCATCTTCAGGCTACATATTGAGTTCCAGGCCAGCATGGCCTACATGAGACTTTGTCACAAACAAAACAAAACAGCAAAGAAGTCATGTTGTGAGATACATATTGGCCATCATTAGCCTTGTGTAAGGAAAATGAAAATTGATCCTGCTGGGCGTGGTGGTGCACGCCTGTAGACCCAGCACTTGGGAGGCAGAGGCAGGCAGATCTCTGTGAATTCAAGGCCAGCCTGGTCTACATAGTGAGAGTGAGTTCCAGGACAGCTGGGGCTACAGGGAGACCCTGTCTCAGAAAAGACAAAAACAAAAAGAAAAGAAAATTGAGCCTATCCCTTCTCTGCCCAGGTGTCCCGCTCGGGGTATCCCCTCTCTGCTGAGTCCAGCCGGACCTTGATGATATGTGTACTGTGGGTCTTGAAAAATGCAGAGCCAACCCTCCTGCAGCGCTGGGCTGCTGACCTGGCCCTGTCACAGCTGGGACGCCTCCTGGAGTTGCTCAACCTCTGTCTGGCTGCCTTTGAGTATAAGGTACTAGGGGTGGGCTGAGGCTACAGTGGAAGGTGAGAAGGGCTTAGTGTATATTCACACCCCTGTGACATCACAAGCTGAGCAGGAAGGGTGGGCTGTCTGTATGCAGGCTTCTGGGCAGCTGAGGATAAAGGGTGAACTGTGTCAGATCTCAGGTTTGGAATAAGATGACATATATCTTCATGAATAGAATAGTGGGCTGGGGATATGGCTTAGTAGTAGAACACTTGCATACCATATGCAAGGCCTTGGGTTTCATCCCCAGGATGAAAAGGATGAGGGGGTAGTAGAGGGAAGAAAGCCAAGCATGGTCACATAAACCTATTAATCCAGCACTTGGTAGGCTGAAGCAAGAGGATTGCCATTAGCTTCTAGCTCAAGGACAGCCTGGGCTACATGGGACCTTGTCTAAAAAAAAAAAAGTGAGACAGGAATAGTGTTAAACAACTTTAATCCCAGGACTTGGGAGGCAGAGGCAGATGGATCTCTATGAGACTGAGGTCAGCCTGGTCTATATATGAGTTCTAGGGCAACTGGGGCTACAGGGAAACCCTGCCTCAAAATACCAAAAAAGAAGAGAGGGCCAGGCGTGGTAGTGCATTCTAATCCTAGCACTTGGGAGGCAGAGGCAGAGGCAAGTGGACCCTGTCTCAAAAATTTTAAAAAGGTGGGAGGGAGGTAAGGAAGGGAACGAAGCAAAACAGTGCAGCTGCAAGGGAGTCTGGTAGCGTAGTTCTTGATTTGCAGGTTCGAGAAGGAAGGGAGATAAAAAGGGACAGAGGGAGGGAGGAAGGAAATCTGGAGATAGTAAGACTTTGGAAGAGAGGGCTGAGCTATGTCTTCTAGCACAGGGCCCTGAGCAGAGGAACTGGGCTAGCTCATGTCTTTTTTTTTTTAATATGTATGAGGGTTTAGCCTATATATATGTAAGTGCACCTGGAGTTACAGATGGTTGTTAGCTGCCATGTGGGTGTTAGGAACTGAACCCAGGTCCTCTGCAAGAGCAGGCAGCCAGTGCTCTTAACCTCTGAGCCAGCTCTCCAGCCCCATTAGCTCAGTTCTTAACCAGAAAGAACACACTCTACCTTGAACCCCATTTTTCTTCTCTCTTAGGGGAAAAAGGCCTTTGAGCGAATTAACAGCCTCACATTCAAGAAGTCATTAGACATGAAAGCCCGGCTAGAGGAGGCCATCTTGGGCACCATTGGGGCACGGCAGGAGATGGTGCGGCGGAGTCGGGGTGAGAAGGCAGCATAGAGCTGGTGTGGTGACACACACCTGTCATCCAGCATTTTGGAGGTGGAAATGGGAAGATCAGGAGTCCAAGGCCAGCCTCACCTACATACTTAGTTTGAGGCCAGCCTGGGCTACATGAGACTTTGTCTCAGAAAAAAATAAAAGTCCATAAGTTGGGCATGGTGACACACGACTTGAATGTGAACACTGTGGAGGCAGACACATTTGGATCTCTATGCGATTGAGTCCAGTCTGTTCTACATAGTGTGTTCTAGGCCAGCTGGGACTACAGGGAGACCCTGTCTTTGAAAAAACAAAAACAAAACACCCCACAGGCCATTTGTGTCCAGCAGTGTTTGGCTACCGCGCAAGTCTCATCTCTACTTTTGTCACCCTACAGGGTGCTTGTATGCTTTTCCTCATGTTTACATCTGCCTTTCTGTTCTGACACGTCTATAAACATACACTTTGTGCATGACAGAGAGGAGTCCATTTGGAAACCAAGACAACGTTCGCTGGCGTAAGAGTGTCACACACTGGAGACAGACCTCAGACCGTGTGGACAAGTAGGTTGTGTGGTGAATAAGTCTGTGTTTCTTTAATATAATGAGCTACCTGAGGCAGGCCAGTTTATAAAAGAAAAGGATTCTCACAGGGTTGAGTGTTGAAGGCATGTAATCCCAGCACTTGGAGGGCTGAAGCAGGAGAAGGGTGAGGGTAAGCCCAGCCTGGGCAACCTCAAACAAGAAAGGACAGTTGTAGTGATCTGGAATCTTAGTACCTGCAAAGTAGAGGCAGGAGGAGGAGCTCATGTATGTCCTTGGCTATATTCCAAGTTCAAGTTCAAGATCAGCATGGGCTATATAAGATTGTCTCAAAAAAAAAAAAAAATGTAAGCTGTCCCATAAGAACTACCACAGTTTATTCCTTGGGCACGTTTTCAGTCACAACAGAATGTCCAACTAGTCTCCTCTTTTCTATTTTAATGAGGTTAGGGATCAAAGCCTAGACCTCACCAATGCTGCACACCAGGGCTCTGCCACTGAACCATGCCCCAGCTTCTCACTGGGGGATTCTAGGCAGGGGCTCTACTTCTGAGCTACTCCCTTCTCCATCTCCTTTTTTTTTTTTTTTTTGGTCTTTTTGAGATAGGGTCTTCCTGTATCCCCAGCTGGCCTGGAACTCACTGTGTAGACCAGGCTGGCCTTGATTCACCTACCTCTGCCTCCTGAGTACTGGGACTAAAGGTGTGCGCCACCACGCCCAGCTAGTCTCTGTCTCTTAACTTCTTCATACTAAGGACCAAACCAGTGGGGATCCACTCAAATCGCGATGTGTGGGAAAGGAATTTCCATCGTTCAAACTGATTTGTAACACACTGCCTCCCTCCTGAATAGCCTAGGGGTGGAGAGGTCTCTGCTGTTCTATGAGTCCACCCCCACATTGCTTCACAAGATCTCAACTGCCCTGCAGGACTAAGAATGAAATGGAACATGAAGCCCTAGTGGATGGTAACCTGGCAACAGAAGCTAGCTTGGTGGTTCTGGACACCCTGGAGATCATTGTGCAGGTACAACTTGATCCAGCACCTGTTCTGAACTCTGACCCCTCCATGGTGGCCTGGAATCTCTAAACCCACAATCCCTTAGCTTCCCAGTCCCCATACCCACTCTAGTTTCTAACACATGGGTTTTTGACACCCTCCCCTGAAGACGGTGATGCTGTCAGAGACCCGGGAGAGCATCCTGGGTGCTGTGCTCAAAGTTGTGCTGTACAGTCTGGGGAGCACCCAGAGTGCCAGCTTCCTGCAGCATGGCCTAGCCACCCAGCGGGCTCTGGTATCCAAGGTAAGAAATCCTTAGCAACCACAGTTCACAACCATAGTAATAGCAACTCATTTATTCAGCACCTAATATGTACTGGACAATTTCATGGCACAAAAATACCATAGCTGTGGTTAGAACTGAGGACCAAAGCCGGGCATGGTGGGGCACACCTGTCATCCAGGCACCCAGGAAGAAGGCAGACGCAGGAGGACTACTGAGGATTATTCTGGGTTACATACCAATACTGTGTCTCAGAAAAAAAGGGGGTAGGGGGCTAGAGAGATGGCTCAGTGGTTAAGACCACTGACTGCTCTTCTAGCACCCATGTGGCTAACTGTCCATAGTTCCAGTTCTAGGAGATCTGGCATCCCTTTCTGGCCTCCATGGGCATTGCATGCATGTCATGCACTTACATGCAAGGAAAACACTTATACACATAAAAATATAACAAAAAATTTTCAAAATGCAGAACAAGACCCTGCCCCTGCCCAGTCCCCATCTGGGGGATCCCAGGTCTCCCTAGGAGAGGCTGATCATATCTCTGGGGTCCTGGGGACAGTTCCCGGAGCTGCTGTTTGAAGAGGACACGGAGCTGTGTGCCGACCTGTGCCTGAGGCTTCTGCGACACTGTGGCAGCCGCATCAGCACCATCCGCACACAAGCCAGCGCCTCCCTCTACTTGCTCATGCGCCAGAACTTTGAGATCGGCCATGTATGGGGGAGTCACAGGAGGAGGGGGTGGTTTCCCCAAGAAACCTGGTCTCTGCAGGGTGTAGTCTCTCTGTGGGTGTGGTCTCCTAAGGGGCATTGTCTCTCTGGGCATGGTCTCTACTGAAGAAGTGACCCCAGGAGTGTGGTCTCCACAAGACTCAGTCAAGGTCCCTGCCTGGGGGTGGCACTGCTGCAAGGGGACAGAGGAAGGGCAGTGGCCATCCATTAGTGTTGTCCAGTATCAGAGGGCTGGAAGTAAGGGATGGAACTGGTGGGATGTGTGGAAAGGTGGCACAGATTAGCACAGAGGTCAGCAGGTTGAACAAACCCTGCTGTGGGGGGACTAGGGTTTGTGCTCATAGGGTGACCCTGTCTCCCCTGTACCATCAGAATTTTGCCCGTGTGAAGATGCTGGTGACCATGTCACTCTCATCCCTCGTGGGAACAACACAGAACTTCAGTGAAGAGCACCTGAGGCGGTCCCTCAAGACCATCCTGACCTACGCAGAGGAGGACGTAGGGCTGCGGGATAGCACCTTTACAGAGCAGGTGACCCAGTGGTGGCCCTCCCTGTACCTGCGGCAACCTGTGGGCTTGTCTTCCTGTCTTGTTGGTTTATTTATTTATTCATAGTGGGTTTCTTTTTTTTTTTTTTTTAATGTGTATGAGTGTATTGCCTGCATGTATGTAAGTGCATCCATGTTATACATGCCTGTGGAAGTCAGAAGAGGGCATCAGATCCCCTGGAACTGGACTTATGAATGGTTGTTAGCTACTATGTGGGTGCTGGGAATGAAACCCAGGGCCTCTGAAAGAGCAGCCAGTGCTCTTAACCACTGAGCCATCTCTCCAGCCCCTTCTTTTTGTTTATTTCACACAGGGTCTCCCTGGAACCTCAGCTGGCCTGGAACTCACTATGTAGATCAGGCTGGCTTCAAACTCAAAGATATCCACCTGCCTTTGCCTCCCAAATGCTAGGATTAAAGGCATAGGCTATCTCATTGTGCTGTTCTTGATGTTTGAGCTAGGGTCTTACTCTATAGCCCAAGCTGACTTGAAACTTGGCTATGTCATCCTATCTTTGCTACTATATTCTGGGATTATATTCATGAGCCACCATGACCAGCTTTATTTTGGCTTTCTCTCTCTCTCTCTCTCTCTCTCTCTCTCTCTCTCTCTCTCTCGATATAACTCATTATGTAACTGAGATTTGAACCCCTGATCTCTAAACCTCTTTTTATTTTCGGTCTTTTTGAGACAGTCTCCCTGTAGCCCCAGCTGTCCTGGAACTCACTATGTAGACCAGGCTGGCCTCGAACTCACAAAGACCCATGGGTGAAATACTCACAGAGGCCAGAAGAGGGCATTGGATCCCCTGGAATTGGAATTACAGGTGGTCGTTGGCCACCATGTGAATGCTGGGCACCAAACCTGGATCCTCTGCAAGAGCTGCCAGTGCTCTTAAATGCCGAGCCAGTTCTCCAAAAATGCATATATTTTTAATAAGATTTGTTTATTATTTTCAGTTATGTGTATGTGTGTCGGTACCTACACATGTGTACAATGCATACAGAGGCCAAAAAAGAGCATCAGATTCCCTGGAACTAAAGTCACTGATGATTGTGAACCACCAAGTGGGTGTTGGGAACAGAACCTCTGTCCCCTGTAAGAGCAGCCGATGCTCTTAACCACTGAGCCAACTCTCGAGCTCCTTTGAGCTTACTGGTTCAGTTTGAATGGCTGGCCATTGAATCCCAGGGATACCTGTCTCTGTACCTCCCTTCCTGTCCCCAGCACTAGGGTTGCAGCTAAATACCACCATGCCAGGCTTTTCACCTGGATGCTGGGGATCAAACTCAAGTGCCCCCTGAGCATCTCTCAAGCTCCACCCTCCTGGTTTTTTTTGGGGGGGGGGTCTTTTGGAGACAGGGTCTCCCTGTAGCCCCAGCTGGTCTAGAACTCACTATATAGACCAGGCTAGCTTCAAACTCACAGAGATCTAGATGCCCACCTCTACCTCCTGAGTGCTGAGATTAAAGGCATGCGCCACCACGCTTGGCCCTCCTCCTGTCTTTTTAAGAAATATTTTATTTAGGCAGAGACAGGTGGATCTCTGTGAGTTCGAGGCCAGTCTGGTCTCCATAGAGAATCCAGGCCAGCTGCAGCTACAGGGAGACCCTGTAGCCCCAGCTGGCCTGGAACTCACTATGGAGACCAGGCTGGCCTTGAACTCATAGAGATCCACCTGCCTCTGCCTCCCGAGTGCTGGGATTAAAGGCGTGCACCACCACGCCCGGCCCTATTTATTAATTTTTATTTTATGTGTATGAGTCTAATGCATGTATGTAACTGCACTCATTTGTGCAATGCCCATGGAGGTCAGAAGAGGGTGTCAGAATTCCCTGAAACTGGAGTTATAGACAGTTGGTTAGCCACCATGTGGGTGCTAGGATCCAAACTCAGTCTTTTACAAAAGCAGCCAGTGCTCTTAACTGTTGAGCCATCTCTCCAGCCCCCACCTTCCTGTCTTAACCCTGCCTTCCTCACTGACTCCAGGTTCAGGACCTCATGTTCAACCTGCACATGATCCTGACAGACACAGTAAAGATGAAGGAGCACCAGGAAGACCCTGAAATGCTTATTGACCTCATGTACAGGTGAGGGGTACTCCAGCCAATCCCAGTTGCTGACAGACAGGAGGGGTGTGAGGCGCAGAGGAGGGAGTGCACAGGGGAAAGAGGAACAGATAGAGACAGATTAAGGCAGCCAGATGAGCAAGCAGCTGAGGGGACAGGTGAGAGTGGGAGACGAGATACAGTGGGCCGGTGAAGGGCTGTCATGAGAACAGACACGTGAGGGCGTTTGTGCATCCGTGCTCTATTACCAGAGCAAATGCCTGAGATAGTCACCTTAGAAAAAGAAAAGGTGGGGGAGGGCTGGAGAGCTGGCTCAGCGGTTAAGAGCACTGGCTGCTCTTGCTGAGGATCTGGGTTCAGTTCCCAGCACACACATGGTGGCTAACAGCCATGTTTAACTCCAGTTCCAAGGGATCTGACACCTTCTTCTGGCCTCTGTAGGTGTTGCAAGCATGTGGTGCACTTAAATACATACAGACAAAATACTCATAGACATAAAATAAAAATAAAATCTTTGAAAAAAGAGAAAAGGTTTATTTGGCTCATGGTTTGGGAGATTTTAGTCCACAGTCAGTTAGCAATCTTTGGGCCCGTGACAAGGCTCCACATTATAGCAGGAGGCTATAGCTGAGTGAAACCCCTCACCCTAGGGGCAATAAGCCAGACAAGAGAGTGAGGCAGAGACTAGGGTCCCACAAGAAAAGAAGTGAAAAAATAAATAGGGGCCTTGGCTGTAGCTTACTGGCTACATCTACTGAGTGTTCACCTAGCACTTATGAGGCCCTGGGTTCTATCCGCAGCATCCCATAGACTGGGTATGGTAGTGCATTTGGGTCATCTTCACCCCTGGAAGGAGGAGGAGAGGTTTAAAGTCATTCTCCACTACCTAAGAAGCTTGAGACCAGTCTGGACGATGAGACCCTCTGTCTCAAAAAAGAAAACAAAGGGGATGGAGAGCTGGCTCAGCAGTTAAGAGCACTGACTGCTCCTGCAGAGGACCCGGGTTTGGTTCTCAGCACCCACATGGAAGCTAACAACTCTCTGTAACTCCAGTTCCAGGAGATCTGACGCCCTCTTCTGGCCTACATGGGTATCACACACATACATGCAGGCCAAACACTCATACACATAAATTAAAAATAAATCAGAAAAAAAAATTGTCTTTATTTTATGTGTATGAGTGTATTGCCTGCATGTGTGTAAATGCACCTGTGTCATGCAATGCTGTGGAGGTCAGAAGAGGGCTTTGGATTCCCGGGGAACTGGAGTTAAGGACGGTTTGTAGCCACCATGTGGGTGCTGGGAATCAAACCCGGGTCTTCTGCAAGAGCAGTCCGTGCTCTTAACCACTGAGCCATGTGTCCAGCCCCAGAAAAAATTTTAAACAAAACAAAAAGTAGAAAAGTAAGGCAGCAGGGGAGAGCACAGGTGAGGTGTCAGCTGCGAGAATGAGTTAGTGAGATGGGCAGGGGAAGAGGCCAGTAAGGGAGTGGGAGGCACAGACAATGAGGATGCAGGTAAGGGCATGGACTGTTCCATCATGACAAGGTGAGGTCTACACAAGCAGAGACAGGTGTTCACATCCTTCCCTCTCCTGGACCCCAGAATTGCCCGAGGGTACCAAGGCTCACCAGACTTGCGCCTGACTTGGCTTCAGAACATGGCTGGCAAACACGCAGAGTTGGGCAACCATGCAGAAGCTGCCCAATGCATGGTGCATGCAGCTGCCCTGGTGGCTGAGTACCTGGCCCTACTGGAGGACAGCCGCCATCTGCCTGTGGGCTGCGTGTCCTTCCAGGTGAGCGGTCAGAGGGTGGTGGGTAGGAAGAGGACGAGGACAGCCCCTTTGGAGAGGACGCCCAGGTCTGACACCATTTCCTACTTTCCCCAGAACATCTCATCCAATGTGCTGGAGGAATCTGCCATCTCAGATGACATCCTGTCACCAGATGAAGAGGGTTTCTGCTCTGGGAAGCACTTCACAGAGCTGGGGCTGGTGGGACTGTTGGAACAGGCTGCTGTCTACTTCACCATGGTGAGACCCAGGGCTGCAGGGCACGGAAGGGACACAATAGGGCTGTCAGACTGCTGGCCAAACCTGTTCCTTGCCAGGGGTTTAGAACTGGAGAGTTAGGGGGCTGGAGCAGTTAAGAGGACTGGCTGCTCTTTCAGAGGACCTGGGTTAGGTTCTCAGCACCCACATGGTAGCTAACAGCCATCTGCAACTCCAGTTCCAGGGGATCTGATGCCCTCTCCTACTCTCTGTGGGCATTGCATGCATGCCGTGCTCTTACGTCCATACAGGCAAAATACCCATACACATAAAAATACAAGTAGCCATGTGTGGTGCTGTGTGCCTTTAGTCCCTGCATTCAGGAGGCACAGGCAGGTGAATCTCTGTCATTTTGAGGCCAGAGTGGTCTATGTAGTAAGTTCTCGGCTAGCTGGGGATACAGAGACACCTTGTCTCAAAAAAAAAAAAAAAAAACCCAAAAAAATGTGGCTGGAAAGATGACTTAATGGTTAATAACACTTGCTGTTCTTCCAGAGGACCCAGGTTCAATTCCCATCTACATGGTGGCTAAGAACCACCTATAACTCCAGTTCCAGGGAATCTGGTACCCTCTTCTGGCCTCAGTAGACATTGCATGCACCTGGCACACTTACGTACATGCAGGCAAAACATTCAGGGGGCTAGAGAGATGGCTCAGCAGTTAAGAGCCCTGACTGCTCTTGCAGAGGATCCGGGTTCGATTCCCAGCACCCACATGGTGGCTACGAACCATCCTTAACTCCAGTTCCAGGGGTATCTGAAGCCCTCTTCTGACCTCCGTAGCATTGTATGACATGGGTGCACTCACATACATGTAGGCAATATACTCATACACATAAAATAAAAATAATAAATAAAAGGGCCAGGCATGGTGGTGCATGCCTTTAATCCCAGCACTTGGGAGGCAGAGGCAGGCTGATCACTGTGGGTTCAAGGCCAGCCTGGTCTACATAGTGAGCCCCAGGACAGCTGGGACTACAGGGAGACCCTGTCTCAAAAAGACCAAAAAAAATAATAATAGTAATAATAAATAAAATATTTTTTAAAACCATTCATACACATAAAAGTAAAATAACAAATAATGGTTGGGTGTGGTGGTACATGCCTTTAATCCCAGCATTTGGGAAGCAGAGGCAGGCAGATCTCTGTGAGATCAAGGGCAGCCTAGTCTACATAGTGAGTTCCATGCCAGCTGGGGCTACAGGGAGACCCTTACTCAAAAAGACCAAAAAAATTAATTAATTAATTTAATTAAATAACAAATAAAAAGACAAATTTAAGCCAGGCATGGTAGCACACATCTTTAATCCCAGCACTTGGGAGACAGAGGCAGGCGGATCTTTGTGAGTTCAAAGCCAGCCTGGTCTACATAGTGAGTTCCAGGTCAGCTGGGGCTACAGGGAGACCCTGTCTCAAAAAGACAAAATAATAATAATAATAATTTTTAAAAACTGACGGTAGAGGCAGGAGGATCAGGATTTCAAGGTCATCCTCTGCTACATAGCAAGTTCTAGGCCACCCTGGACTGTGAGAATTCCCTGTTTGAAAAAAAAAATTGTAAAGACTTGAGGCTATATGGGCTTAAGAGATGGCTTAGTCTTTAATAGCACTGACTGCTCTTGCGGGGACCCAGCTTCAAGTCCCAGCACCCACATAGTGGCTAACAACCGTCTGTAACTTCAGTTCCAGGGGATCCAATGCCTTCTGATCTCTACAGGCATTGCACGACACAGGTGCACTTGCATGCAGGCAATACATTCATACACAAAATATATAAATAATAAATAAAATATTAAAAGATTGGGGCTGTAGCTCTGTGGCAGTGGTAGAATACTCCCCTAGCTCACTTCCGATACTTTGAGGGGGAAGAATGAAAGAAAACCATTAACTCTTGGTTGCCTTGACAGTGTTGAGTCTGGGGAGATGACTCAGTTGGCACGGTGTTTATCACTCAACCATGAGGACCTGAGTTTGGGTCCTCAGGACCCATGTGTGAAGCAGAGCACAACGGTTTAAGTCAGCACTGGGAGGCAGGGATGGGAGGATCCTGAAGGCCTGAAAACAAGCTAGTGTTCCTGAAACAGTGAGCTCCGGGTTCAGTTAGAGACCGTGCCTCAGAAATTTGTGACACACCACACCCCATCTTTAACCGCAGCACTCCAGAAGCAGAAGCACATGGATCTCTGAGATCAAGGCCAGCCTAGTCTACAACAACAACAGAAGTTCAGCATGGGACCCTGTTTCAAAGCAGGGACAGGAAATTGGTTCCTCAGAGCCTGCTTCCTGACTTTTTCCTCATAAAACTTACTTGAAAAAAAAAAAAAAAAACTGTAGAACTTTTAAGCAGAAAGAAGAAAGAGGCTAAAAGAAGAAAGGGGTTTTTAGTTGTTCCTGCTGGCTTTTTCCAGGCTTGTTCTGCCTGTAAAACTAGCCTCCTCACTGGGGTTTCGTGGACACCTACTCAATTTTCAGGAATGCAGTGTGGCCCAATTCCGAAATTTTATAGACGATTTTGTTGTTGCTGTTTGTTCAGCTTTTTGAGACAGGGTCTCCCTGTAGCCCCAACTGTCCTGGAACTCACTATGTAGACCAGGCTGGCCTTGATCTCACAAAGGTCTGCCTGCCTCTGCTGGGATTAAAGGTGTGCACAGAAGAAATATATTTTGGGAGTGCTGGAACTCAGTTGGTAGGAAACTTGCCTAGCATTCAGGAAGCTCTGGGTTCTATCCTCAGCACTGTCTAAACCATACTTGGTGTCACATGCCTGTCATCCCAGTACTAGGAAGGTGGAGACAGGTTCAGTGGCATCCTCAGGTACATAAGGAATTCCATGCCACCTAGGGGTACATAAGACCCTGTCTCAAACAAACAAACAAAAAAATAGAGTCTTGCAGTGTATCTCAGTTGTCGAGTGCTGGTCTAGATACAGAAAACCCTGGCCTTCATCCACAGGAGGACAAATAAATCAAAATAGAACCGGGCGTGGTAGCCCATGACTTTAATCCCGAGGCAAAGGCAGGTGGATCTTTGTGAGATGGAGGCCAGCCTGTTTTATACAGCAAGTTCCAGGCCAGCCAGGGATATATAGTGAGACGCTGTCTGAGAAATAAATGAATGAATAAGTGTAAAGTAAAATCTATATCCAGGCCTCACCCACCCTCCACACTAGACCTTGTGCTTAATGATTTGGAAGATCTACTTACGTTTTGAAATCTAAGAAGCTCTGGTTGAAAACAAATCCCAGCTCTCGGGCCTTGAGCTGCACACTCGCCCCCTTGTAACCCTTACTGAAAACCTTTTGATGAGGGGCTGGAGAAATGAGCACTGGCTAAGGACCCAAGTGCACTTACATATATGCAGACACATAAAATAAAAAAATTAATCTTAAAAAATATAATAGTGGGGCCACAGAGACGGCTCAGTAGTTATGAGCACTGGCTGCTCGTGCAGAAGATCTGGGTTTGAATTCCAACACCCACATGGAACTGGGAATCTGACACCCTCTTCTGACCTTCACATGCACCGTACAACAGAGGTACACTTACACATAAGCAGGTAATAGACTCATACACAAAAAATTGAAAATTATAAGGAAAAAAAATTTTTTTAAAGTGCATTTATTCGGGGCTGGAGAAATGGCTCAGTAGTTAAGAACACTGGTTGTTCTTGCAGAAGACCTGGGTTAAAATCCCAATACCCACATGGCAGCTAACAACTGTCCGTAGCTCCAGTCCCAGGGGATCCAACAGCCTCTTCTGACCTCCAAGGGCACTGCATGACACGGGTGCACTTACCTACATGCAGGCAATACACGCATACACATACAGCACTTGGGAGGCAGAGGCAGGCAGATCTCTGTGAGTTCAAGGCCAGCCTGATCTACATAGTGAGTTGCAGGCCAGCTGGGGCTACAGGGAGACCCTGCTTCAAAAAGACAAAAAATATATATATATATATTTTTTTAGCTGGGCATGGTGGCGCACGCCTGTAGTCCTAGCACTTGGGAGGCAGAGGCAGGCGGATCTCTGTGAGTTCAAGGCCAGCCTGGTCTACATAGTGAGTTCCAGGACAGCTGGGGCTACAGGGAGATGCTGTCTCAAAAAGACCAAAAAAAAAACAAAAAACAAAAAAACAAACTTTCAAATACAAAAAAAAAGAAAAAAAGTACATTTTTTTATGTGAGGGGGTGCACAAATGCCATGATGAGCTTCTGGAGGTCAGGAAGTAAACTTCCAGGAGTCAGTTCCCACATCCCCAACCCTGTAAATATCTTACATATGATATCCATTTTGTGGGTGTTTATTATGAATTAGGATCTATAAAGTGTCCACCGTGCCTGCGATTAATTAGCATGTGGCTTTTTCTTTTTTCTTATTTGTCTTTTTAGTTACTTACTTAGACAAAATCTCACATAGTCCAGGCTGCTCTCAAACTTGCCATGAAGTCAACACTAACCTTGAATTTCTGATCCTCCTGCCTCTGCCTCCTGAGTCCTGGGATTACCAGTACGTGCTAGCATATTCAGATAATAAGCTTTATTTTTTTTTTTTTAGCTCAGTTCTGTATTCACAGCCATCTTGAGTGTAAAGTTCAAAGATTTTTCCATGCACCCTCTTTTATTATTTAGGACTGCATATAGCCATTTTTATGCAACAATTTAATGTACTTTGGGTATATCCTGTCCTCCCTTTCTTTTTTTCTTTTCATTAAAAAAGTTTGTTTATGGGCTGCAGAGATGACTTAGTGGTTAAGAGCACTGACTGTTCTTGCAGAGGACCTGGGTCCAGTGCCCAGCACCCACATGGCAGCTACAAACCATTCTTAACTCCAGTTTCAGGAGAATCCGAAGCCCTCTTCTGACCTCCTTGGCACTGTACAACACAGATGCACTCACAGACATGCAGGCAACACATTCATGCACAGAAAATAAAAATAATAAAATACAGCTGGGCGTGCTGGTGCCAGCACTCAGAAGGCAGAGGCAGGCAGATCTCTGTGAGTTCAAGGCCAGCCTGGTCTACATAGTGAGTTCCAGGACAGCTGGGGCTACAGGAAGACCCTGTCTCAAAAAGACAAATAATAAAAAAAATAATAATAAAATATTTTAAAAAGTTTATTTGTATATGAGTGTTTTGCCTGCATGTATGTAAGTGCACCAAGTGCATGCAGTGCTTATGGAAGCCAGAAGAGGGCGTCGGATCCCCTGGAATTGGAGTTACATATAGTTGTTAGCTGTTTTGTGGGTGCTGGGAACTGAACCCCAGTCTTCTGCAAGAGTAGCCAGTGCTCTTAACCACTGAGCCATCTCTCCAGACCCTTTTCAGTTTTGAGAGATGGGCTTACATAACCCAGGCTACCCTCCAACTCTTGTGTATAGCTGAGGATAACCTTGAACTCCAGATCCCCCACCTCCACACTGCTGGAGTGTGCCTGCTTGCACACATGCCCTCCTTCCCCAGCACACACAACCTCCACCACTGTCAACATCCCACAGCTGGGTGGTATTTTATTTGCAATCGATGAAACTCCATTCACAGACAACAGTCCCCCACAATCCAGAGTTCATGACAGGGATCAGTCCTGTTTATATACTTTGTGGGATTTGTTTCTTTGTTTGGAGACAGGGTCTCTCTGTAGCCCCAGCTGACAATGTAACCAGGCTGGCCTAGATCTCACAGAGATCCACCTGCCTTTCCTCCCTTGTGCTGGCATTAAAGGTGTATGCCACCATGCCTGGCTGCCCCCTCCACTTTTAAAATTTTCATTTATTTGTGTGTATATGTGTGTGCATGCATGCATATGTGTATGGAGGTTGGTGGTCAGAGGACAACTTGACCTCTAGATTTGGTTCTCTCCTTCCACATGTAGGATCTAGGAATTTAACTCAGGCTTGATGGCAAGTGTCTTTATTGAGCCATCTCAGTGGCCCATAGTTTTACTTTGTTGGTTTTTTTTCCCCCTGTGTGTAACATCATTTCAATATTTAGCCCAAGCTAGCCTAGATTTTTTTTTCTTTATTTTTTTTCTTTCTATGTATATGTTTTGCCTGTGTGTATGTAAGATCACTTGTGCATGCAATGCCCACAGAACCCAGAAGAGGCCTGGAAGGCGTAGAACTTCCATGTAGCCCACACCAGTTTCAAAATTGTGGCAGTCTTCCTGGCTTTTCCTTCCAAGTGCTGGGATCATAGGTATTGGACACAATGTCTGGTGTTTTTAAAAAATTTTATTATTTTTGGCCAGGCGTGGTGGCGCACACCTTTAATCCCAGCACTCGGGAGGCAGAGGGAGGCAGATCTCTGTGAGTTCAAGGCCAGCCTGGTCTACATAGTGAGTACCAGGTCAGCTGGGGCTACAGGGAGACCCTATCTCAAAAAGACAAAAAAATTATTATTTTTATTATTTTAGTATTATGCATATGAGTGTTTTACCTGCATGTATGTAAGTGCACCTGTGTCATGCAATGCCTGAGGAGGTCAGAGGGCATCAGATCCCCTGGAACTATAGTTACAGACAGTTGTTAGCCGCAATATGGGAACCAAACCCAGGTCCTCTGCAAGGGCAGCCATTGTTCTTAACTGCTGATCCATCTCTCCATCCCTGGTTTTTGTTGTTTATTTCAATCTGTGTGTTTACACATGTATGTGACTATAATACATGTATGAGGTTTATGCTTATTTATGTTAAGCATGCATGCCTCTGCACAGCAGTGGAGGTCAGGTCTGGTGTGAGTCCTCACCTTCTACCTGTTTTAGATAGAATCTCTTGTCTGTTGTGTGTGCCAGGCTTAGGTGCCTCCAAAATTCGCATGGATTGCCCTGTCTCCCCTGTTATACTACGCCCTGCTTTACATGGGTTGTAGGGCCCAAACTCAGGGCTCATGCTTTTATAGCAGGACATTTACCCACTAAGCCGTCTCACCAACCATTTCTTGTTTGGTTGGTTTTTTGTTTTATTTTTTTTGTTTTTAAGGCAAAGTTTCACCACATAGCATTGCTAGGCCTGGCACTCACTATGTAGACCAGGCTGGCCTTGATCTCACAGAGAGCCACCTGTCTCTGCCTCCCGAGTGCTGGGATTAAAGGCATACACCACCACACATGACTGTTTGTGGTTTCTGAAGACAAAGTCCCCTACTGCCTGTGTAGCTTTGGCTGGCCTTAAATTCCTTATCCCTTGCCTTCCTTTCCTGTCCTTGGGTGACAGTCATGTACTGATGCCTGCACCTCAAACTTCCCACTGTCCTAAAGAGATTTTCCACCTATTTGCTTCTTTTTTAAAAAAATATTTTATTGTTTTTATTTTATGTATATGCATGTATTGCCTGCATGTGCACCCATGTCATGTAACGCCCTCGGAGGACAGAAGAGGCTGTCGGATCCCCTGGGACTGGAGTTACAGACAGCTGCCATGTGGGTGCTGGGATTCGAACCTGGGTCTTCTGCAAGAACAGTCAGTGTTCTTAACCGCTGAGCCACCCCTCTAGCCCCTATTTGCTTCTTACTGTGAAAACTACTGCTCACTTCTGAACGTGACTTACTGAAATTCTAAGACCCTTGCTCCAACAGGTTGTTGGCCTGGGTAGAAAGGCTGTGCCGTTAAGTCATATTACCTCTTTGGTCATTTTTCTCCTCATTGGGAAATAATAGTTAAATCTGGAACACAGTCAAGATCAAGGTCTTCTGTGGGGATATGATCTGGATGTATGTGGTACGGGCTTACAGATTCTTGGCAGGGTTTCGCCCTCTGAGCTGTGTCCCAAGCCCCTCACTGGGGAATTCTAGGCTGCCACTCTACCTTTGAGATGCTAGGCAGGGGCTCTACTGCTGAGCAAGATGATCAGTTCACGGTCATTCTTGGTTACAGAGTGAGTTTAAGGGCAGCCTGGGTTACATGAAATCTTATCTTTAAAAAAAATCCAAGGGGCTGGAGAGATGGCTCAGTGGTTAAGAGCACTGGCTACTCTTGCTGAGGACATGGGTTTGAATCCTAAAACCCACATGGTAGATGAAAATAATGGAGCTGCTGGGCATGGTGGTGCAGGGCTTTTATCCAAGTATTTGAGAGGCAGGGGCAAAGGTGGATCTCGCTGAGTTCAAGGCCAGCCTGGTCTACATAGTGAGTTCTAGGCCAGCTGGGGCTACAGGGAGACTCTGTCTCAAAGACCAAAGAAAAAAAATTTTTTTAATATTAATTTATTACTTTTATTTTATGTGTATGAGTGTATTGCCTGCATGTACGTGAGTGCACCTGTGTCATGCAATGCCACAGAGGTCAGAAGAGGGCTTCAGATTCCCCTGGAACTGGAGTTAAGGACAGTTCGTAGCCACCATGTGGGTGCTGGGAATCAAACCCGGGTCCTCTGCAAGAGCAGTCAGTGCTCTTAACTGCTGTGCCATCTCTCCAGTCCCGAAAAAATTTTTTAATCCAACAAAACAAATACACAAGCCTAATGATAAATGCAATTCCTAGAACCCTCACAGAAAATTTATTATTTATTGTTTTTATTTATTTTTATTTTTTGTGTATGAGTGTATTGCCTGCATGTATGTACATGCACCCATGTCATGAAATGCCCAAGGAGGCCAGAAGAGGAGTTACAGACAGTTGTTAGCTGCCATGTGGGTGCTGGGAACTAAGCCTGGGTCCTCTGCAAGAACAGCCAGTGCTCTTAACCACTGAGCCATCTTTTCAGCCCCCAGAAAAAAAATTTTTTTTTTAAAGCAAATTGGAGCCAGGCGTGATGGCACCTTTAATCCCAGCTCTTGGAAGGCAGGAGAATCTGTGAGTTCAAGGCCAACCTGGTCTATATAGCGAGTTCCAGGTCTGCTGGGGCTACAGGGAGACCCTGTCTCTAAAAGACAAAAAAAAAAAGCAAACAATTCATTTCAGGATTGGGTTAGTTGAGCCGCAGAACGCTTGCCAGGATGTTTAAAGTCCTTGACCTCACCCTCAGCATTACAAAACAAAAACTCTAGTCTCTTCCCACAAGGAATAACTGTAGAGATACCACAGCTCAAAAATGCTTGTGAGGAGAATTGAAGACCACAGGTAGAGCAGGAATGCTGGTCCCTTTTGGCACTGAAGTGGTCAGGGTGGGCTTCCTGGAGGCAGTAATGGGCAAGGAATAGGAAGAGAGGAGAAAATAAGCCTGGGTTTCCAGCAGCATAGAGGGTCTAAGGATGCTTACCTCACCCCTCCCTTTCCCCAGGGTGGACTGTATGAGGCAGTGAATGAGGTCTACAAAAACCTCATCCCCATCCTGGAAGCCCACAGAGACTACAAGAAGCTGGCTGCGGTGCATGGAAAACTGCAGGAGGCCTTCAGCAAGATCATGCAGCAGGTGCACTCTTAGGTCCCTCACAGACCCCCCCACTGACCCCTCCCATATCTGTCCCCTCTGAGACCTCTAGCTCAACCTCTCCGAATCCATGCCCACATGCCCTCAGACCCACCCTTTACCCCCTCCCATATCCTGTCTATGGCCCCACCCAGTCTCCACCCTCTGTCCCTCCCAGGCCCTTCCTACACACCCTACCCCTGACCTTATCCCAGCCACACATACCCCCACCCCCCACACTCCCCATTCTTTCATTCCTAGGCCCCTCCCACATCCCCACCCAATGTTCCTCCCACATCCCCACCCAGTGTTCCTCCCACATCCCCACCCAATGTTCCTCCCACATCCCGGTGTCATCACATATCTCTAGAGCCCTTCCAAGCCCCTCCCACTCCCTCTGCCCCCCTCAGACCAAGCCCCTATCCTTCCCAGGCCCCTCCACATCCCTACCTTCTGCCTCTCCCACCCTGTTTCTCCCAGACATCCCCTCCCTCCCCCATACTTTGCCCTCCCAGGCTACTCCTGCCCAGTCCCTCCTAGACCCTTCCTAGACTGCTTTAGGCCCCTTCTAGACCTCTCCCCTCCCCCTAGGCACCTCACCAGGCCCCTCTGAAGACCTCCTCCTCTTCTTTGCCCTAGAGCCCAGGTCCCTCTTCCTGACCCCTGGCTCTGCTAATCTTGTCTGTCTTTTCCCACAGAGCTCTGGCTGGGAGGTGAGTCCAGGCACCTTCCATGCCCACCTGCCTCTGGGACCTCAGGATCCCTGGTCAGCAGTGGTCTGGGACCACCAGAAGGGGGCGCTAGAGGAGCATGGCCACCCGCCACAGGGGCCCTTGCTCAGTGGGTGATGACGCACAGCCCCCTATTTCTCCCCCAACACCCCCCTCCTCCTGCCCCAGATCTCAAAGGCAGCTTGTGAGTCACCCAGCTGGGAACTCTCCAGAGACACCCACAGGGCTGGCTTGGTCTCCACCAGTGACAGGGGATGGAGGATAAAGGGAGACGGGGGGCCCCTGTCTCTTCCCCTTACTCAGCCCTCTCCCTCTCCCTCTTTCCCATGACTGCATCTCTCCATCTCAGTCTCTTTCTCTGCCTCCCCAGCTCCCAGCTTCCCCCCAGGACCTCTGTTCATCTCTGTTTAAGATGAACTCCTCCCCCCAATCCGTCCTCATCCTTTCTATTTTTAGGCATCTCTCAGTTGAGGGTGAATTTTCTGGCCAAAGATGGCAGGAACCCATAGCCCTGGCAGGCTGGGGGGGGGCAGTGGGGGGGCATGTCCCCTCCCTCCCAGCATCCTTGCTATCTCTCTCTCCCCCATAGGGCACTTCTCTTAAGGTGGTATAACTAGGATCCAGGGGTTGGGGGACGGGGAGGTGGCTCTGACCTCTCCCATGACTGTGTCTCTCTGTCCACCCCTACCCCTGTCTCTGGCCCCACCATGTCTGCTCCACCCTGTCTGGATCTGCCTTGGTGAGTGCATTTGGAATGACCCCCACCTCCTTTCCTGTGGGGTGGGGGATGGTTTCCCTGGGTGAAGTGGAGGTCCTCCTTCCAAACTTAGGGATAAGGAAAGAGAAGAATGTTCTAAAACAACAGAACTAGAGCCACATCCAGGGTCAGAGGCAGCCCAGAGCATTCTTCAGTCACTCAAGCACTGAGGAACCTGGCATGTCCCCAGTTCCATGGGTATGAGCAACACAGCCCCTAATTTGGTACTGGGATCCAGGTGATAGACTAGCTGAGGCAACAGAAACTTAAGATCAAGGGGGATCCAAAAATAGGAAGGGGATGAAGGGAGGACCACCAAGGGGAAGCCTTGGTGAACAGGAGGCTGAGACAGGAGGATCAAAAGTTCAAGGCCAGGAAGGAAGGAAGGAAGGGAGGGAGGGAGGGAGGGAGGGGAAAGGAAGGGAAGGAGGGAGGGAAGGACGGAGGGAGGGAGGAAGGGAGGTTGACCAAGGGGAAGCCTTGGTGAATAGGAGGCTGAGACAGGAGGATCAAAAGTTCAAGGCCAGGAAGGAAGGAAGGGAGGGAGGGAGGGAGGAAGGAAGGATGGACGATCAAGGGGAAGCCTTGATGAACAGGAGGCTGAGACAGGAGGATCAAAAAGCCTCTCTCAAAATAAAAGTAAAATGGCTGGAGACTTAGCGCAGCCATAGAGGTTCAAACTAGAATGCCCCAGTGAGGGCTGGGCATGGCTCAGAGGTAAGTGTCCATGCCTGGAATCCCCAAGAGAGGGGCTGTGGGCATGGCTCAGTGGTTGTGTGCTTTCCTAGCATGTGGGAGGCTCTGGGTTCCATCCGGAAAGCATACACACACAAAAACAAATATAAGCCTTTGGCTGTAGTCTGGGTCTGTAACTCTGACATTCCCTGGGTCCTCTGACATGTTAGTCTAACTCTGTTTTTGAGGTCCTCACACTAGCCTCCTGAGATTCTTGAGGGTCCCCCCTCACACTCCATGGCCATCTCTTCCCCAGCCCATCTTGCTCCCCATGCCACCCTGTGGGACCAGGAGATTATCTGTGGGGGGAGGGGTTAGGGACACCTGCAGAGATGACTCCCAGCCAATACCACCCCCTTCTCAGCCCAGCGCGTTTTTGGGACATATTTCCGAGTGGGTTTCTACGGCCTGCGTTTTGGGGACCTGGATGAGCAGGAGTTTGTGTACAAGGAACCATCCATCACGAAACTGGCAGAGATTTCACACCGGCTGGAGGCATGTCCCAGCACTTGAGGGGGTGGGGCCAGCCACCACACTTCCCTATGGGTTATAGTGGGGTCTGTCCACATGCATCTCTGAGTTGGTTGTTTCCCCAGGAGTTCTACACAGAGAGGTTCGGAGAGGATGCAGTGGAGATCATCAAAGATTCTAACCCAGTAGACAAGTCCAGGCTGGACCCACAGAAAGTAGGTCATCTGCCCAAGAGCCTATAGTGAAGGACTTTCAAATATTAGTTCCTGGACAGTGGAACTCAAGTCCTGTTTCTCAGGGGATTCTTGGACAGCCAGATATAGGGAGATCTGGGGTCCATGAATCAAAGCCCTCAAGCCCCAGGGGGTCCCCAGAGCCTCTTTGGACAGAGATGCCAGGTAAGTATATCAAGGCCAGGAGACCCACACATGTGACTCTGCATCCTAGGCCTACATCCAGATCACCTATGTAGAGCCATACTTTGACACTTACGAGCTCAAGGACCGGGTGACCTACTTTGACCGCAACTATGGGCTGCGGACCTTCCTCTTTTGCACACCTTTCACTCCTGATGGGCGGGCACATGGGGAGCTGGCGGAACAACACAAACGCAAGACCCTGCTCACCACAGATCATGCCTTTCCATACATCAAGACACGCATCCATGTGTGCCACCGTGAGGAGGTGAGACCCCAGCCTAAAACTAGAGGAGTCAGGAGGTGGGGGTACACCAGGCCTGGGGAGGAGTGATACAGGAACCTCAGACCCAGGGAGAGGAGGGAAGTAAGAGGCTAAGCAGGGCTGGCTCATAATAGGAAATCTCCATGCCCTAGCCAGGTACACATGTGTGCACCCACCAGCCCCCTCCCACCTCCACCCTAACCCCATCCCTACCCCCTCACCCTGCAGACAGTACTGACACCAGTGGAGGTAGCCATTGAGGACATGCAGAAGAAGACCCGGGAGCTGGCGTTTGCCACTGAGCAGGACCCTCCGGATGCCAAGATGCTGCAAATGGTTCTACAAGGCTCTGTGGGGCCTACCGTGAACCAGGCATGGCTAGCATTGCTAAGGGACTGGGGGGTGCTTGCTACCAAGGTTCTCCAGGTACCATTCAGGTATCCTCTGAATACCTCTCACCATGTAGGGTCCCTTGGAGGTAGCCCAGGTATTTCTGGCAGACATCCCAGAAGACCCCAAGCTCTTCCGACACCACAACAAACTGCGACTCTGTTTCAAGGATTTCTGCAAGAAGTACGGCCATTAGAACCTTCCAGCCAGATTCCCTGTCATCCTGACTCCTGACTCTCACCTTGACTCTGTCATCTTGACTCCCTATTAACCTTGCAGCCTTCTGTGAACCTCTGCCTGCTCTACCTGCTGCCCTCCACCCTCTGACACTCCCTTGCCCTGGTTCTGCTCTCTCTGCTGAGCCCTCAGCAGTGTCTCCCTGACCTCACAGGTGTGAGGACGCACTGAGGAAGAACAAGGCCTTGATTGGGCCAGACCAGAAGGACTACCATCGGGAACTAGAACGCCACTACTGCCGTTTGCGAGAGGCCCTGCAGCCCCTGCTCACCCAGCGCCTGCCCCAGCTGCTGGCACCAAGCTCTGCCAGCCTCAGGTGCCCAACATGGGACTGGAGAGGGCAAGACAGAGGGTGGGTTTGAGCACACAGTACATGGTAACGTGCGCCTGCAGTCTCACCTTTGCACAAACCTGGTTATGTTGTCCACTTCCAGAAAAGCAAGCAGAGCGGGGAATGGTGGTAAACACCTTTAATCCCAGGCAGACCTCTGTGAGATAGAAGCCAGCCTGGTCTACATAGTGAGTTCCAGGCTAGCTGGGCCTACATAAGGAAACCCTGTCTCAAAAAAACAAAGAAAAAAAAAGGCAGGCAGGTGCTGGGCAGCCTAGTCTGAGTCATCTGACTTAATCTCTTTTTTAAATTATTTAATTTATTTTATGTGCCCATGGGGGTGGGGGGCACATGGTGTGTTATGGTGCCTGTGTGGAGGTCAGAGGACAATTCAGTTTTTTCCTTCCACTGTGAGGCCCTGGGATTAAACTCAAGTCCTCAGACCTGGCAGCAAGCTCTTTTACCCCCTGAGCCATCTCTGCCCTCTGTTTATTCTTTTTTAAGAGAATTTTGGGGGGGGAGGGGTCTCTTTGAGACAGGGTCTCCCTGTAGCCCTAGCTGGCCTGGAACTCACTGTGTAGACCAGGCTGGCCTCAAATTCACAGAGATCTGCCTGCCTCTGCCTCCCGAGTGCTGGGATTAAAGATGTGTGTCACCATACCTGGCTCAAATGTAATTTATTTAAAAAATAAAATAGCCAGGTATGGTAGGGCATGCCTTTAATCCCAGCACTTGGGAGGCAGGTAGATTCCTGTAAAAACGAAGACAGCCTGGTCTACATAGTGAGTTCCAGATCAGCAGGAGACTATAGGGAGACTCTGTCTCAAAAAAAACAATAATTAAAAAAATAATCCTCGGGGCTGGAGAGATGGCTCAGCGGTTAAGAGCACTGACTGCTCTTGCAGAGGACCCAGGTTCAATTCCCAGCACCCACATGGCAGCTACGAACTGTCCCTTAACTCCAGTTCCAGGGGAATCCGAAGCCCTCTTCTGACCTCCACAGCACTGCACAACATGGGTGCACTCACATACATGCAGGCAATACACTCATACATTAAAAAATAAAAATAATAAAATATTTTTTAAAAATCCTCTGATTGGATTGGGATATGAGAGGAGAGATTTTATAATGATTCTTTGAAGAGGAGGAGGATAAGATGAAGTAGGTTGGCAAGACCATGGAATTGGGGCCCTGTGGGCCTGCTAACCTACCCTCCCTCTCCCAGGAACTCCCTGAAGAGAAGAACAAGCTTCCAGAAGGCTGACCTCTGACCCACAGGGCTGAAGCTACAGCTAAGAGTCAGCACTGAGACCTCTCCGTCTGCCTTGCAGGGGGTCAGTCCTCTTGCCCCTTTGTCAATGAGGGACCACAGTGTCCTTGGGGCTAGGCCCTCTGTCACTCTGTCTGTCTGCACTGATGTATTCTAATGTTTTTAATTTAAAATGATTTTTATATTGAACTAGTGTGATGTGGTCTCTGGGGACTGGGCTCTGTGTGTGTGTCCTGTGACCTTTCCAGCCCAAAGCACAGAACCTTTAATCACAGGTGGCAGAGGCAGGCAGAGATCAAAGCCATCCTGGGCTACATAGCAAGTTCCAGGCCAGCTGGGGCTACGGGAACACCATGTTTCAAGACAACAGTAAATAAGTAAATTAATTGAAGATAGATGATAGATAGATAGATAGATAGATAGATAGATAGATAGATAGATAGATAGATGATAGATAGATAGATAGATAGATAGATAGATAGATAGATAGATGATAGATAAAGCGAGCCTACTATGTACCCTGGTGATAACAGATACCATTCCGGCTCTGGGGCAGCTGACATTCTGCTGTGGAAAATAGCACACAAATATGCAACATGTCCACTAGAAAGAGTACTATTTCAGACCAGGTGTGGTGGCGCACACCTTTAATCCCAGCACTTGGGAGGCAGAGGCAGGCGGATCTTTGTGAGTTTGAGGCCAGACTGGACAGCTGTGGCTACAGGGAGACCCTGTCTCAAAAAGAGAAATAAATACTATTTTTAAAATTTTTTATTTTTATTTGCATTTCATATGTATGAATGTTTTGCCCGCTTGTATGTAAGTGCACCGCATGTGTGCAATGCTCAGGAAGGTCAGAAGAGGGTGCAGATCTGGAACTGTCAAGCCAGCTCTCCATCTCCTTAATCTGTTTGTGTATGTGTGCAGAGGTACCTGGGAGGCCAAAGGTCCTCACTGGGTATCTTCCTCAGTCTCTCCACCTTTCTTTGTTTTGTTTTATTTTGTTTTTTTTTTTTATTGAGACAGGGTCTCCAAGTAGCCCCAACTGCCCTGGAACTCACTATGTAGACCAGGCTGGCCTTGAACTCACAGAGATCCGCCTGCCTCTGCCTCCCAAGTTGTTTTTTTTTTAATCACATTTATTTATTTGTGTGTGTATGCCACAACAGGCAGGTGGAGCTCAGGGGAAAACACGGGAAACTTGGTTCTTTCCTCCCACCATTTGGGTCTTGAGAATGGAAAGGCAGCAAGTACCTTTACTTGCTGAGCCCTCTCACCACCATTCCACCTTATTTTTAGAGACTGAATCTCATTGAACCTAGAGTTCACTGACTTGGCTAGGCTGACTGAACCCCAGAAGATTCTCCTGTCTCCATTATCCCAACACTGTGGGTTACAGATGCACTGCTGTGCCCAGTGTTTACCTCAGTGCTGTGTGTCTTCATGTTTGATCAGCAAGTACTTGATCCACTGAGGCATTCCCCCAGGCTCCTGTAGAAATCATGAAACCCCAGGCTGAATGTTAAATGCCTTTCAGAAAGGTTTTTCTTGTTTTGAGACAGGGAGTCACTATTCAGCCTTGGCTAGCTTAGAGCTAGCTATGTAGACCATGTTGGCCTTGAACTCAGAGATCTGCCTGCCTCTGCCTCCCAAGTGCTGGGAATGAATGAGCACCATCCTTGGCTTTTTTTTTTTTTTTTTTTTTTTTTTTTTTTTTGAGACTGTTTCATGTAGCCCAGACTGACCTCAAACTTACTCTGTAGCCAAGGATGACTTTGAACACCTGATCCTTCTGCCTCCACATCTCTTGAGAACTGGGATTACTGACTTTTACTACCACTGGGGACTGGCGTCCAGAAACTTCTATGCAAATAAAAGCAGCTCACCTGTGGGCTGAGGGTGTGCCTTAGAGACAGGTTAGCATTCACAAGGCCCTAGGGCCACCCAGAACTACAAAATCAACGAAGTAAATTAAGCCCTGTTTTTATGGGACTTCTGTTAGGCTTGTGTGTGTGTGTGTGTGTGTGTGTGTGTGTGTGTGTGTGTATACACGTATTAGGTAGGCTACAGGATTAGCCCCATTTTCCTGATGGGGAAACTGAGGCTTCGCTCAGGTGATGGGTAGGGGTGGCTGGCTGTTCAACGTCTACATTTGCACAGCACCATTGGACAGTCATGCCATGGTGCACCCGGCCTGCAGCTGGGCAGCTTCCAACCCTGAGCGGCCAGCGGGGGAAGGGTGACCTCCCGCCGTCACCACAACCACCACCATGCCCGCCCCAAGCTGGGCCCCAGGCCAGCTCCACCCCCCTGCAGCGGCACAGCTGCGAAGAGCCGGAGACCAAGCGTGAAGTAGTGGCGGACTGTGTCCCAGGGCCTGCTGGCCAGAGGTGGATACCAGCCCCTGGACGTGCACGCACACCAGGTGAGATCGCTTGCACCCCACCAACCCCACTGCAATTAGCCCTGCCGAGCCTGGCTGGAGAGGCGCCCGGGAGGCTGGAGGGGCGTGGCTTTGTGTGAGGGGCGTGGTCAGGGGCGTGGTTACCAGCCGGGCCGGCAAGGCCGAGCAGGGTGGTGGCTGGGGCGGAGCGCTGAGGACGCCCGGGACGGCGGAGGCTGGAGCACTACAGGCGAGTGGGTCCTGGGACTGGGTTGAGGGGGGTCCTGATATTTTTAGGGGTTCGGTCTGGGTTTTTCCTCACCTCCAGCCACAGATTATAAATTCTTCTCGACCAGTCCCTCCTGAGTCTGACCCTCTCTGCACACAAACTTTCCGAACTGCAAACTTTGGAGCACTTGGGTCTCCCCCCTTCCCATCTCTGACCTCGGCCCTGCTTCCCTTGTCCCCCGTCTTCCTCCATCCCTTCACCTTGCCACTTCTCGCCCATCTCTCGGACCCTGTCCTCTTGCTCTGTTACCCTCCCTGCCTCTTGTCCCCCCTCGTGCTGTGTCCCCCGGCCTCCTTGGACGGGCCAAGCCCCTCAGGCGAACGGAAGGCATCCAGGCCTGAGCCTGGCTGCTGGGCCGGTGTGGGGGATCAGCAGATGTTTGCCATTAAGCTGGGGACCCTGCAGGCCCCGCCCCCTCTCCGCCCGGGGCGGGGTCCTCCTCATCCCCCAACTTCGAAGGCGGAGAGACAGAACAGGAAACCCTCCTGGTCTATCCAGGCTACTGGAGAGGCGCGCTTTGGGGAGACCCTGCGCCCCTTCTCTGAATATTCCCACCTGCTGATTCTCTTCACTCTTACCCAGGAATCTTGTAGGGAGAGGGGCCTTAGCGGAGGGGCCCCTCTAAATTCCACTCACTGTCCTCACTCCACCCGTCACCGCCCCTAGCCCCTGGGAGTAACCAGTGTACAGTGAGATAGCTGGATACCCTCAATCTCCGTGTGTGGAATCTGGGGATGATTTGGTGGGCACTCGCCTTATCTGACACACTTCAAGTCCAAGTCCACCCCACCCTCCCAGCCCAAGTGACCCTGGGGAAGTCACTCACTGGGAAACTAGGTGTGACTATCCAATTACTGTGGTTGGCCTGGTACTTAAAAAGTAGATGTTGGGGGCTGGAGAGATGGCTCAGTGCTTAAGAACACTGGTTGTTCTTGCAGAAGACCCGGGTTTGAATCTCAGCACCCACATGGCAGCTAACGACTGTCAGTAACTCCAGTTCCAGGATATCCGACAGCCTCTTCTGACCTCTGAGGGCATTGCACGACACGCAGGCAATATACGCATACATTAAAAATAAATGTATTTTTTTTTAAAAGTAGATGTTGGAGCTGGAGAGCTGGCTCAGGAGTTAAGAGCACTGCTGCTCTTGTAGAGGACCCAGGTTTGATTCCCAGCACCCACATGGCAGCCAACAACAGTCTATAACTCCAGTTTTAGGGAATCCAGTGCCCTCTTCTGACCTCCACGGGCATAGAAGGACACAGATGCACCTACTTACATGCAAGCAATACAACCATACACATAAAAATAAAAACTAACTTTATTTTTGGTCTTTTTGAGACAGGGTCTCCCTGTAGCCCCAGCTGTCCTGGAACTCACTATGTAGACCAGGCTGG